GTGAGAAATAAAACACACATAATCGAGGGATGGGGAAAGAACATAGGATTTTCAGAAGAAAAAATAAATAAATACTTAAGCCTTTGACAAGCCAGTGAAACAGGACTGAAACACAAGTGGGGAATTTCTGGGCAGCTGCACAGATCCAGAGGGAAGGCAGGACACTCACAGAACACACCAGCTTCCTGCATCACACCGGGGAGGGAGTAGGGAAAAAGGTCTCACAGCAGACAGGAGATATTAGGCAGCATAAGGAGAGAGGGTTTAAAAAAAAAGGGAAAAATCTAAAAAGGAGACACGGTTCGACATGCACAAGAGCAGAGTAAGGTAGTGAAAGGGAGATAAATGTTAACTGCAACCAACACATTGGAGCTTAGGAGTGAAAAAGGAAAAGAAATGTAAAGTATTGGGATGTTCTTGGGAGCCCTTTTAAGAAGACAGCGGTTAACACGTTAGAGGGAATGCTAAAGCACAGAGTCCCTTGTGTTTTTTYGCTCTATTCTCCTCTTTCTCCCAATTCTACTTCTTCTCAATAAGCTCTATCACTTACCCAAGACTGAAGCTAAGCTGGGCTCTTGGGTACTGAGTGTTTATTGCCAAGCACGTGTTTCATCCTGTGCCCTGAACCCACCTGCACTCAGGGGGCAATCAGAAAAGTGCAGAGGAGGCTGAGAGGCCATAAAGATTTTACCGACCTTTAAYGTAACCCACTCTGGATGCTCAAAGAGAGGCCAGGTCTGAAAACACTCGCTGGGGTCTGTCAGCTCAGGCCCTCTCCACCCCAGGGCTCCTCAACAGCCTAAGAGTGAATTCAAGGCCAAAAGYCTCAGATGATCCTCGCTTAAGGTGCTCATCCCAATAGATTAATCTGAGCCTGGCTAGAACAAGGAATATCCCTGCCAAGCAGCAGACATCAGTTATTTGCCACCTAAGAAGCAGAATAGAAGTTGGTGGGTGATGTTGCTGTATGTACAAAACGCTCTGCTCGTGACCACTAACAATCTCCTCCAGGGCTGATGATTGAGAAGAGACAGGAAAAAAAAAAGCAGATTATTGTATAGTTGCTGTAGGTTAATATCATCACCGTAAGCAGGGGCATCATTCCAAAGCACAGGCAAATAATGCAAGTTTCGTGCTTTTTTTTTTTTTTTTTATATAACATGCTCATTCTGACTGCATTCACAGAATCTCTCTCAGGAGACTAGTAAGAAATGGGACTCTCTAATCGGGACCATATTTATTCTGCAGTGAAGATGTTTTATCTGCAGCTCCGAGGACAGAACATTTCAGTCCGCAGAAATCCGTTTTTCCAAATGGCTCCGTTTTCCATCTATCCCAGTTTTTTTTCCGCCCTTGCACYGAGCTGTCTGACCAGAGCGACAGCTGAGTCAATAACTCAGCACATCTAAAACCCCTCATCCCATTTCAGCCAAAAAAAAAGGGAAAAAAAAAACCCTCTGTATCATCTCCAAAGCAATTTGGCAGCAGGAATTCTGCTGAGAGAGAGTCTGTGGGAGAAGGCAGCAGTGCAGCTTGCTGGCAGAAGAGCTGTTAGACTCCCCGCGCTGGCAGGACGGAGAGGAGGGGACAGGTTTTAAATAAGCAGGAGATCCTGTCCCCAACCCCTCCTGTGGGGACAGCTGGCCGGGCCTGAGCGTGGCCCACGGGGTGCCCGAGCAGAACTGCAATGCTGAGAGCATCAGGTGGGAGAGAGGACAGTCCCTAGGAGGTCACAACACCGCGTCCCACCTGCCTGCCTCCAAGCAGCCCCGCTTTTCTACCATTTTCTCCATTTTCCTTCCTCATTCAGGGATCTTCTGACAATTATTAAGCAACTTTGTGGTCAAGCTCTAGCCTAGGAAAAAGCTAACAAAAACTTCTTAGCAAAATGCTTTGGTGTTTTGAGCTGCCTCTCCGTCTTACGAAGCAGCTGAGCAAGTTGCCTGGGGAGGAAACCTCCACTGCTGWCTTCCTGCATGACCAGGTGACCAAAAAAGGACCAAAAGAAAAAGGTTTTTTGGACATTTTAGCTTTCTATCAGAATGAAAGACTTCTCATTGCTTCCAGAGTTTTCCAAAGGGATAAAAACGATCCACAAATCTCAGGAATTCCTTCTACAGGTCTGGCACGTCAGCAAGGCTGCCTCAGAGACAGCACTAAGAAAAATAAAATCAGACTGGGATTTTCCATGGGGGAATCTCTGTCTTTGGAGGCTTCCTTCCCTGCCCAAAGCGACGGAGACTTGGTCTATCGCTGAGGTGCTCCTTCAACTGGAGGTGCTCCTTCAACTGGAGGTGCTCCTTCAACTGGAGGTGCTCCTTCAACTGGAGGTGCTCCTTCAACTGGAGGTGCTCCTTCAACTGGAGGTGCTCCTTCAACTGGAGGTGCTCCTTCAACTGGAGGTGCTCCTTCAAGTGACTATATGACCCGCCCCGTGGTGCCCACCAAAGAGCAACCCATGGTGCCTAAATTGAGGATCTTGTTGTCAGCAGAAGATTCCGCACGTGGCTGCCCCAGGTTCCTAGTCACCAGGCTAGGTCTTGGACACGAGCAACTCGTTCCTGCCTCGTTTGGCTTTCAGCAATTGCAGTTTTGACACGGGCTGAGCCCCTGGGGACGGACCCCCTCGATCTGGGCAGCTCACCAGAAATATCCCAGACGCGCACAGTCTGATCCAAGCTGGCCGACACGACGAGGTCCTCGGCGGGGTGAAACTGGGCGCACATCACGTAGTGGTTGTGTCCCGTCAGCACGCTGCGGCCAAGAAGGACAGAAAACACCCTTTAAACGTGAGAAAACGCCCTTTAAATCCAGAAAACGCTAGCGTGTTTCCGCCTGGACCGAGCTCAGGCTGAAGAAGAGGGATGATGAAGAACGTGCGAGGAGGAGGCACTCAGGAGGCTCTTGAAGAGCTGGTGGCTCAACATTGGCCTCATGTCCTTGTGAGGGGCCTGCAAGGGCTCAGCTACTGATGGCAACGACTTTATAGGGGAGGAWCAACACTATATTTTAAGCTGGGAAATATTTCACCTAAACATTACGTAAATTTACAAAAAAGAGACCATATAGTACTACCCAAACTAGAGAGAAAAGAGAAAGACTGAAAAATATATTCACAATTACCAGGTTTGTTGGTTCTTCTTCATCAATTACGCCTAGTTTTTAAATGTTCTTAGTATTTCCCAGTCAAAAACGAYGGATTTAGGGCCCACGCCAACCCTGCAGCTATTTATAACTCAGGAATTTTACCAAACGCAGGTCCTGGACTGCCAGTTCCAAACACGAATCGTCTGATCATCCGAAGCACTCAAAATCCAGGGATATTCCTAAAAGACGCAGCGTTTTATAAAGGGAAAAGGTCGTTCATCATCACCACCATCTCCCTCCCGGGCATTTTCCTGCCTTCACACTATTTATTTTCCCATTTAGGGAAACAAAATGGATCTGGTTTCATATGAGACAGGGGTCACAGGAGCCTTACGTGGTGGAAGAAGGTGGTGCGGATGTAATCCAAGTGTCCCAGCAGGGTGAAAAGGCAGCGGCGCAGCTTGTAATTCCAGACCTGAGGAGCATGGAAACAGGAGRGATGGGATGCACCAGGACCTGCCGAGATCTCCCCCGTTTCCTCGCGGGATASGAAAGATTTCGGCTCATTTACAAATCTCTCTTTTTCGCTCTACAACAGCGCTCTACCACAAGCCATTAAGAGGGCTCAATTCGTTAAAAATACAACTAARCTTCCAAGACAGCAAAGCTGAATGAGACGTTTCTCCCTTTTTGGTAGTTTTTTTACAGGCGCCCCCCTTATTTTGGGCAAAGTCCTTCACAAAACAAGGGGGGCTGGTGGCAGAGAGAGGGGGGGACGTTACCTTTATCTTGTAGTCGTCGCCTCCCGAGACGAAGAGCGGCTGCTGCTTGTGGAAGTCGATGCCTCGAACGGGCCCTGCGGAGGGAAGGAGCCGGTTGACGGGCGGCGGCGCCAACACGGCCCCCCTTTTGGTGACAACGGGGCCGGTAAAACGACGGCAAAAAGCCGGGTAAAATTCTGACGCGGGTCTCGAGGCCACGGGGCCTCCCCMGCGGATGCGATGAGGGGTTTCTTTAATTGCTTAAATTAGTAATTAAGGTCAGATCCTGCTTTGCGGATGTGCTCGGGGGCTGGTAAAGGGCCCAGGCCCCCGTTAATGGCCGTGGTAACAGCCGTAAGGAAGGAGCCACCGGTAACGGCTGCCGGTAACAGCTGCCCATAACGGGGCCCTGCTAACGGCGCCCCCGCCCCGGTAACGGGCCATGGTAATAGCACCCCACGGTAACGGCTGCCACCCCACCCCGGTAACGGCTTCCTCCCCCRGTAMCGGCCATGGTAATGGCACGCCCCCAGTAACGGGCCCCGCTAGCGGCGCCCCCGCCCCCGGTAACGGGCCCCGGTAATAGCACCCCACGGTAACGGCCGCCACCCCACCCCGGTAACGGCTTCCTCCCCGGTAACGGTCCACGGTAACAGGCCGCAGTAACGGGCCATGGTAAAGGCCATGGTAACGGCACGCCCCCGGTAACGGCACGCCCCCGGTAACGGGCCCCGGTCACGGCCGCCCCACCCCCCCGGTAACGGGCGCCCCGCCGCTCACCGTCGTGCTCGTCGAACTTGTCGATGAGGGTGCACATGCGGTAGTCCCACAGCTGGATGACGCCATTGTGGAGGCTCGTGAGGATCCAGGGCCGCTTGGGGTGGAAGCTGAGGCCTGCGGAGAGGCGGGAAGCGGCGCCGTGAGGGCCGGCGGCGGCGGGGAGCCGCGCGGGAAGGGCGCCCGCCGCTCGCCACCTTTCACCCGCGCCGACTTGGTCTCGAACTTGGTCAGCATCGCCCGCCGCCCTCACCGCCCCGCTCCACGTCGGCACCCCGGAAGCGCCGCCCGGTTACGCTTCCGCTTCCGGCACCGCCCCGACCATAGAGTCTCGGTCCTCCCGCGGCGCCGGAAGCGGAAGGGGGCGTCGTGAAGATGGCGGCGGGGAGCGGCGGGGCGCAGGCCGCGGCGAGGGGCCCGCGGGCTCCGTTACCGGCCTGGCCGCGGCTGCTGCTGCTGCT